AATTTCATATATGGTTCAAGAGGGGACTCTGAATTATTGCCATGATCGCCATCAATATTAATTCCAATCCATATGCTTCTAGCAACAAAATATGTACACTCTGCCTTCCATATGCATCTACTCCCTCCGTCCGGAATTACTTGTCATCAAAATGGATGAAAATAGATGTATCTAGAACTAAAATACATCTAGATACATCTATTTCAATGACAAGTATTTCCTAACGGAGGGAGTATGATGGCACACACGAATCTACATGTACTGTTGCAGCGGGAGCCATTCTCAAAGAGCTCACTGTACACAAGACATCGTAATATTGCTGAAAAAGGCTTTCGCCCCGCTTTATATTATAAAGCAAACCGCCCAAGCATCAAACAAGGTTCAACAAGTTCACACACACACGCACACGGAGGTCCACAAGAGTACAAATAAGTCAAGAGGGTTAATGCTGAGGGCACAACTCAACAAGCCCTAGAAACAAAACACACACTCCACAAAGCAACCCGAGCAACTAGTCAGGTTCTGGGGGAGGAGGCGGTAGCAAGGGCGCCACGCGGAGAGCCATCGAACGAAGGTCGGCGAGGAGAGTGGTGATGACGTCCCGATCTTGGGGGCGGCTAAGCGGCCGCGAAAGCTGCAAGTAGCCACAAATTTTAAAGATGCGTCAGTCGCACGTCGGAGAGGCACTTTCTGAATAACAAGCTTACTGCAGATGGTCCAAAGCGTCCAGGAGAGGACCCCAACGCACAACCATCTAATATGGCGGTAGCGAGGGGGGGAGGCGTTGAGCTCCGCAAGTAAGTCGGGGAAGTTGGTGTTGCACCACTGTCCACCGACCGTCTCGCGGAAGCAAGCCCACAGGAACTGGGCAGTGGAGCAGGAGAAGAAGATGTGGTTAGCATCTTCTATCGTGCCACAAATGGGGCACATCCCATCGCCCGGACCGTTACGCTTGAGGACTTCAACCCCAGAGAGGAGGCGTCCACGGATCCATTGCCACAGGAAAATCCTGATCTTCAGAGGTAGGCGGATGTCCCAAATCAGGCTGAAAGGCTCCGGAGCCGCCAAGGGAGCAATGGCGGCGTACAGGGACTTCGTGGAGAAGCGGCCAGATGGCTCAAGGCGCCAGGAGAGGGAATCCGGGGCACCCTCGATGTCCATCGGCATAAGGTCGATGTCCTGGAGGCGGGAGTCCCAAGCAGCCACCTCGAGGGGGGGACGAAGGGGCGCCGGAAAGCGAGACGCCCCAAGTCAATAAGGGCCGTCTCGACAGAGACCCGAGGGCCAACCGCAATGGCGAATAGTTCTGGGAATCGCGCAGCGAGGGGGGAGTCTCCTAACCAACGATCGAACTAGAACAAGGTCGATGACCCGGAGCCAACCGAGATGGACGTGCCAATGTGGAGGACGGGCAGAAGCTGGATCACCGACTACCAGAACTGGGATCCACCAGAGCGCTGGCAAAAGGCAAGAGGTTGGCCCCTGAGGTACTTATTACGGATGATGGTAAGCCAGAGTCCTCCCTCCCCATTGGCGATATGCCAAAGCCAACGGGTCAGGAGAACAACGTTCATGCGTCGAGATGACAAGATCCCAAGGCCACCATGGTCTTTGGGTTTGCAGATGTCTGGCCATCTCACCATATGGTACCTCTGCTTGTCCCCCTCGCCAGCCCAGAAAAACCTAGACTAGTATTTGGCGACCTCCTGATGGAGGGTCTCATGAAGGCCATAGAAGCTCATGAGAAACCGGAGTAGACTGGCAAGCGAGGAGTTGATGAGGATTACTCTGGCCGCTTTCGACAGCCACCTCCCCCTCCAGGGCTCGACCCGGTGCTGCATCCTAGTCACAGTCGGACGAAGGTCAGTGACGGTGAGCCGGGAGTCACTAATGGGTATCCCCAAGTAGGTCGTGGGGAAGGAACCCAGGCGGCAGTTCAGCCGGTCAGCAATGGACTGAGCCTCCTCCGGAGGATAGCCAAGGACCATCACTTCGCTCTTATCGAAATTGATGGTGAGCCCAGACATCTGTTGGAAGCACAGGAGGAGGAACTTCAGGTTGGCAATGTCGGACGTGGATCCATCCACCATTATGATGGTATCATCTGCATATTGGAGGAGGGAGACCCCTCCCCCTTCCACCAGGTGAGGGACAACGCCACAGATATGGCCACAAGTTTTGGCCTTGTCAAGGATGGCCGTAAGGGCATCGACTACCATGTTGAACAGAAACGGAGAGAACGGGTCGCCCTGGCGAACCCCACATAGAGTGGGGAAGACATTGTAATATTGAGCTCACATGAATGGAAAGGAGGCATGCATCTGTACTGAGCTAGCTAATCCACATACACATGTGGTGATATCTGTACGTGTGATCCATGGTGTTCTGGATCAGCCACCATGACGCACTAGAAAACGTGCATTTGGGGTTTGTGTGTGCACACTCGAGACATATTGCACCCCCTTTTCTCCGTGCAATCATGAATGTTGTACAAAATACTGACCTACTAGCCGCTCGGGACCATCATACTTATGCTGTGGATAAGCTCACACCAAGCTATAGTGCAACAGAACCATTTTTCGTAGAAGTTTCTATGAGCGTTCCTATATATCATATTTCCATGAGGCAGGCAAAGTACCTTTCTGGTTAGTTGATGCACTGTGTGCATTAATGTCCCATACTTAATGAGATATGGATACTCCCTAACAAAAAGTGGTTTATGAGGGAATATATGTTTTGATTAGAAAGCATGCTTAAAGGAGCACTACACTAACAAGTAGCGTAATTAATCCAGGGAGTAGTAACGTTCTATTGGCCACGCTTTGGGCCCTCCAGCCACTCCTAGTCTGTCACGCTAAGCTAGCTCTAAGGCTAACTAAAGCTTGCAGACGTAATCCACATTCATTAGGTGATGGTAAAGCTCCACAGAGTGATGGATTTAGCTAGTTAACCGAATGCTCATGGATAAGGACACGGCTTGTTAATTAATTGTAGTAGTTAACAACTTGTGCGACATGTTAACGTCAGCTAAACTTTGTGACGAGGCTCTACCCATATAAATCCACCTATCTTGATCTGATTGTTGTGTGCGATATATTTTTACAGTATCTAAAGTTAAATGGAAGATCCTACAAATGTGCTGGTACAAATTCATATGTGTTCGATAATAAGGGTACCACGCATAATAATCTAGCTATTTAGCCTAGCTAGAAATATTCGCCAATGATTATGGTTAATAGGATAGTACTAATATTACCATCAACATCAGGACACATCCCAACGCTCCCTTTTATTGCTACTAACATATCTATGTCTTTTTATTAAATTAATCCAAAGAAAGAAGGACGATGAGTACGTCAGGCCTAAACCATATCATGAACTTGCCTTTTGTTTCTGGTTTGGACTTGGAGTCACCCTATAATAAGTGCACAACACAATCATTCTTGTACAGTCCTAGATGATCTTTCCCTCCCGTGTATCCGCATCTACGGGTATCAACGCACACGACACGAACAATTAATTTTCTTAATCCCTTGGACCAAACTTACTACGAATATGATGGTACCACAGTTAAGGAAGCTTCTTAGAGTTGTATACAATACTAATTACATCATAAGATCTCCCCACCAAGTGAAAAGACACAAGGCCAAACTATTCACTCATTAAGCAAATGGGTACAACATAATTAATTAGGTTTCAACTTAAGTTTTGCTTTTGCATGGAATTTATTCACTAACACGTTTGGTAGAATCAAGGCCAAACTATACACAGCCCCACTCCATAGGAAACTTCTACTGTAATGTAGTTGTAGTGACTAGTGCATGAATGATTGGTCCACCCAATGTTCTATGTTTCCTAGTTGCTTGAATCCTGCCTAATATACTTGGCAATTTAATTTCTGCTAATTCTTGAGTACCTGGATTTTTATAAATCTTAGTCAACCAAAATTGAAGTACTGAAAGCACACAGCTGCAGCAAAATTGACGTGATTTCTAGGCAGTAAGTTATATATTGGAGCAATATTAGGGTCATAAATGATTGGTCCACCCAACACAACATACATGTCAATGTAATTAACATTTTTGCTAATTCTCAAGTGCCTAATTAAATCATAGTCAGCTAAAAGCACATAGGAGTATCACTTACTCCCCCCGTTCCTAAGTATAAGTCTTTGTAGAGATTGCACTATGAACCATATGATGTATATAGATGCATTTTAGTGTGGATTCACTCATTTTGCTTTGTATGTGGTCCATACTGGAATCTCTCTCCAAAGACTTATATTTAGGAACGGAGAGTGTAAAAAAAATAAAGTATTGAAAGTCGTCATCTGTAGCTTAACAAAATGTACGTAACTGTAGCCAACGCATTATATTTGAAGCAATACGTATTAGAAAAAAAAAATGGCCATAAGATGGTCCAAGGCTCTAACTAGGATTTACAGCGGATCGGTATTAGTCCGGCCCTAGAATAAGACCCTTAAGTTATGCACGATCTTTGACATGACAAATACACACAAAACATTTCCCAGCGGTTTTGCCTCAAAAAGGGGTGGTATCTAAAACATAGTACACACCTCCAGACAAGAATTTGCCCACTAGTCTTTTGATATTGCCCAGCATCACAAATAGTAAAAAGAGCAACCTGGTGCATGTAGCTCCCGCTTGCGCAGGGTTCAGGGAAGGGTCCGACCACTTTGGGTCTATAGTACGCAGCCTTTCTCTATATTTCTGTAAGAGACTGTTTCCAGGACTTGAACCCATGACCTCATGGTCACAAGGCAGCCGCTTTACCCAGCATCACAAATAGTCCGTAGAAAATACTCAAATGTGTTGCGAGTATTTTTCTCCGGAGGGCACCCTCTCATATATATATACACCCCATTTCCCACTCATCCCTGAGACAAAAACAAGCGCGCACACACACACAGAGGAGAAAAACAAAGCAACAAAGTCATCAGGTGCAACTCCTCTGCTGCGCAACAGACACCAACACACACCATGAGGCCCGGACCCGAGTTCGTCACCATGAGCCGCCGCGCGGGAGCGCCGACGGCGGCGCCGGGCCATGGGCTGATCAACGGGACGGCGGCGCCGCACTCGACGTGGCAGTCGCCGGTGCCGTACCTCTTCGGCGGGCTGGCGGCGATGCTGGGGCTTATCGCCTTGGCGCTGCTCATCCTCGTCTGCTCCTACTGGAAGCTCTCCGGGTACCTCGACGGCGACCGGGATGGCCAGGCAGCGGGGGACGCCGACGGGGAGAAGGGCTCGGTGTTGGGCGCTGCCAGGCCGGCCATGGATTTCCTGGAGCACGTGGTGGTCATCATGGCCGGCGACGAGCAACCAACGTTCCTTGCCAAGCCGGTCACCAGCCGGGCTGCCGAGATGGAGCTTGCGGCCGCAGCGGCTCCTGAGGCGAGCGCGCGCGCTGGCGACGACGACGGGCAGGTGAGGAAGGTGGACGAGCAGGGCTGCGAGGTGTGTTCGCATCTCGGCGCCGACTCGGCGACCCCGAGCCGTGATCACCACGACGCGGCGAGCCGGAGCCACAACCACCACCATGACCATGACCATGAGAGCAGCAGCACGACGGCACTGCAAGAAAGCTCGCAATAAAAGCAGCCGCCTTTTGCTCGCTACAGCTTTCCCTTTTTTGGGGGCTGCTTTTCTTCCTCCTCCTTCCTCCTCCTCTGTAGATTTAGGCTGGGCTGTGTAGATTCTTGGCGTGATTGGTTGAGTAAAAATTAATGGAGATATATGCGAGACTTGGAAGTTTTGCCAATCGAAAGATATATGGAGGCATCATGCTCTGCTTCAGTTGTACAGCTCTCTGAAGAAATGGACAACACTCCACACCATCATTCCCCATCTTTCGGTAACTTACAGGTTACAGCACTTTAAATTGGAACAAATATTGATTACAATGAAATCCAAAGTGACTTGTACCGGGGGACAAGAATGAGTACTGATTGAATTCAGATTCTTTTGCTTTTGTAAATGCAGCTGTCCTGCAGCAAACCAGCAGTCCCTCGGCCTCGAGCAACGTAGGGACGGCACCAGGTCCGTCGGCCCAGCACTCACTGCACATTTTTTGTCTGAGTAAAAAGGTAGGCCAAGGTCCAAAACTTGTTCAAGAAACAAACAAGGCGGCATGAAGCAAGCCTCGTCCAGGATACAACACTCATTGCACATGACAAAAATGGAAGCATGCCAAAAAGAAAAACGAGGATCAGCCCCGCGACGCCTAGGGCGGCTCAGATGGCACCTCTAGGGAACCGCCACCGGTGCCTCCTCCTCTACCCCTCTTCCCACATATCCGCCGAGCAAACCGCGTCGTCAATGATGGTGGAACCCTTGTTTTTGGTCAGCCACGGAGGATTCCCCGGCGTGCGCAGGCGGGCCCTACAAGCCATCGAGGTTTTGTGGTCTCCCTTATGGCCCCACGTAGGCGCCCCGTGCAAGATGTCGTGGTGACGCAACTTCCCCGCGAGATCAAGCATCGGGTTTCTGTGGGTGCGTGTCATGCCATATCAGCGGCTCGTTGGCCACGTTTAGCGGTGCACCACGTGAGTGCATATGCCTTCCGCCGCAATTGGTACTATGTAAGGTAGAACCATAGCACAATTATAGTATCAATATCAATTAAGCAATATTTGGAGTTGTATAAAATAGTAATTGCATAATAAGAAAATTGATGGTCCTTCCATCAAGGAACAAAATTGAAGTATTGGAAGCACACAAATACATCAAAAGCTATGTAATTTCTAGGTTACAAGTTATATATGGAAGCGATATCAGCATAAGAACGATTGGATCTTGAAGTGAAGGTAACTAATAAGACAGCTATACCAACTAATATGTCATTGTCGTATGGAATTGATCATGATCATCCGAAACCGTTAATTTCCAGTGCTCATTTTAGAACCACAATCTTTGGTTCTAAAATGAAATTGTTCCCGTGTATCCATGAAGAAATTCCCGATTAATACAAAGTTTGGATTTTCTTTGCTTCTATTTTATGATCGAGCGAAATAAATCATTGTGGATTTCTTCGCGGCGACGAGTTAATACAAAGCCGGAAGGTAAATGAAAAACACATTTAACAATCCACCTCTACCTCTATCCACATTCCCCACACAAAATCAATTAATTTTTAACTCCTTGAAAAAAAACTTCACTAATAATATAGTAACCCCATAATTTGGAAACCTTGTTTATTATTTCTATTAAAAAATAACAAGATAAGATATTTAATGATCTCCCTCAAGAAGCATCTCAAAACCAAACTATTCAATAAGCACGTTTTGCGGCTTAAACTTTCTTATGTGCCTAGAATTTATGCACCAACACACATGGTAGAATCAAGGCCAAACCCAAGGCTAAACTATTCACAACCCTGTTCCAATGGAAACTTTTGAAGTTCTTAATACTTTAGTTGCAGTAACTAGTGCATGAACGATTGATCCATCCAATGGTCCCTCTTTCCTAGCTACTTGAACCCAACACAACATAGTTGATAACTTAGTTAACATTTTTGCCAATTCTCAACAGTTTATTTTTATTTACCTTTTTTTAGGTAAAAGCACCAACACTTGGTGCAAATGTGAATTATTAAAAGTGCACAACTATAGCAAAATGTGTAGAATCGAATATTCTAGCCAGTAAGTCATATATGAAGTGATATCAGGATAAAGGATGTTTGTAAGTTGATCAAGAAGGTTTGACTAGAATTTAATCTTTTTTAGCTAACTAACGAGTAATAACTCCTTAAGTGAGCTTAGATCACGTCCTTAGGAGTGGATGTACGACCCACCCATTGACGTTCAAGTCCTCACATGCACCGAGTTTGGGTTCTCACTATTGAAAAAAAAATAGATGTAGGGTCGACCTTACCTCTTTCACTTCGAAAAAAAGTAACAACTTATCTAGTCAATGGATGTTGTAAAATATGAACTCATGCGTCGGCAACATATGGCATTGACCCATATCCTCGGAAGCTGTTTCTAGTGCTCATTCTAGAACTACGATTGTTGCCTCTAAAGATAGTTACATTTATTCGGAAAGAACGTTGCATTAATCTAAAAGAAGATCTGAAGAATTTTCCTTACATCTATTCGATGTAAAATATTTGTTGACTTCTTCTCACCATCTAGTTTATGTGAAAATCTAAGCTGGGAGGGAAATGAATAACATACTTAATATTCCTCATTACGATGAATGATCTACAATTCATAACCCCACCCGCAACGTGAAAAAGAGACTCACCCCTCTCCGCCCCTCCTTCCAGGAAAGAACGTACCAGAAGTTGAAACCGTCACGCCATGCCAATCTTACCCCATATAACCACATTCACCTCGACCATATCCCATCGGCATTCAACTCGCCCGTTTGCCTCGCCGTGCTTTTGGCCGAGATCACGGGATGCGGTTACTGGGAAGAGAGTCAAGCATCGCTGGCACTGAGTGGATTAAATTAACCACTTCCCTTATAAACATGTGTATACCGAGAAGTTCTCCCTTACGATCGCACCTCCGTTTTCCTGCGAGGAAAAAAAAATCACACCGTTTTTTCGCGATTAGAGGCGGTACCTCTATTCCAAAATAACATGTCATTCGAAAATTGATACTGCCTTTGACATTTGGTATGACAATTTGGCACCAAAGGGGTGTTTCTCTTGCAAATACTCCCTCCGTCCGGAAATACTTGTCGGAGAAATGAATGAATCTAGATGTATTTTAGTTATGGATACATCCAATTTTATCCATTTCTCCACAATTATTTTGGGACGGAGGGAGTATCTAGCAACAGAGCCTACAGCTCCAAACAAAAAAAAATCCCTTTGGTCTTTTGATATTCCTTGGCGTCACAAATGGACAGTACCCCCTAAATAAATAAATGGAGAATACTGTGTTGTTTTGTAAATCTTTCTCCTCCACCTCTCCTATAAATACATCCCATTTCCCTCTCAACCCTCCCACAGCACAAGAGAAAAAACAGCCAGCGGAAGCAAACTGATCGTGCAGCTCCTCTGCTACGCCTCAACACCAACACAACCATGAGGCCCGGAGCAGAGTTCTTGGCCGTGAGCCACCTCGCAGGGGCGCCGACGGCGACGCCGGCGCCGCACTCGGCGTGGCAGTCGCCCGTGCCGTACCTCTTCGGCGGGCTGGCGGCGATGCTGGGCCTCATCGCCTTCGCGCTGCTCATCCTGGCCTGCTCCTACTGGAAGCTCTCCGGGTTCCTCGACGGCGGCTCCGACGGCCACCACCTTTGCCGCCATGGCCAAGGTAAGATCAGTGTTTTTGCTTTTTAACCCGCCAAATCCTGGAGCAGATTCGCTCCGGCTTCACTTACTGCGACACTGTTGCGTCGAGTGAAACATACGCCGTGAGGATTCGTGATTCTGACAGAGAAATGTGATTCATGGTACATTTCCCTTTGTTCCCACGCACGCCACGATCGATGCTCCTGCTACTTGCCAGCGCATATACAGCACTCCATCCCATACGTATTCTGACGAGTGATATGGACGGATGGGGGATCCTCTTCCTAGGTTCGTACGAACGTGGCCGATTCCGACGAGCGAGCTAGCTAGGAACACGGTAGTATTCCCTCTGGAGAAATGTGATTCATGAGTCACGACCACATTTCCAATTCCCACGCAGCTAGGCTACTTGCGAAAGCATATATATATCGCGCCATCCATATACGAATCTACCGTGGCGAGTCAACAGGAACAGGCATGGACGGACGATGGATCGGGTGATTCTTTCCTTCCCAGGTACGTGGCCACCTTCGTCCCCACTTCCGGCAGGCCGATTCCGACGAGCTAGGAATCAACATGGCAGAATTTCCTCTGCGCGCGGGCGGGGGAATGGAATTTCCGTCGCGCCGTGGATTCGGATATATTCCACATTCCGGCGGTGGTGCGGTGCCGTGCTGTGCTGTCCCCGGTAGCAGTGGTTGCTGTCGTTCTTGCACTAGTGGGAGGGCACCTGAAGGAGTGGCCTACCAGGACCAGGAGCCTGCTGGCCTTGTCAGCTGGGTGATGATCCTTCCGGTTAGATGCCTTGGGTGCGCGCCTCTTCTCCGTTGGCTTGCCGTCGCCGTGGAGGAATTGATTCGGCCGAAAGGGGTCTTCTCCGTCAACCTGCATCCATCCGTGGGTGATGGATTTTCGCTTTTATCTCTTTTTCTTTTCCTTTTATTTTTCTTCTTTATTTTTTTCAATATGTATCTAGTTTATTCAGCACATGTGTTCATTTTTCGTATACATCTGAAACATTCATTATACGCAATAAACATTTTCAAGTAGATGATTAATATATTTTCAGATATATGTTTTGAATTTATTTTCGAATATGTGTTTACCTGTTTTAAAAAAACACGTTGCAACATTTTGGATGATACGAAACATTTTTTAAACTACGTGAACATTTTTAAATTGTATCTTTTTAATAAAATGCCACAAACATAACGCATGAACATCATTTGAAATATAACATATATTTCTCCGAATGGTTTGGTAAATTTTATTGGAATCACAGAGACAATTATTTACATTTATATATTTTTTAAAAAGTTTACTTAATTTTTTTTCAACATTTTTTTGAATG